GTACTTATATTGATCTTGCCTCTCGATCTCTTTCTGCTGTATAAACATAGGAGTCGGTTGTCCCAAATTCTCATCATTGAACACCACAATGGCGCTCTTCGTGGGGTTGAATTGGAGTTGTACTTCTGTACCAAACTCGGATACCACATTAAGGAGAATTTCCATTTCCTCGTAGCTTGCGGCCGTCAGGAGTGAGTCATCGGCGTATAGTAGCCCAGGGATCTTCATGACTGTACCGGGTTGGTATTCGTTATCACCTCGAAACCACATCTCGTCCATAGAATTCTTGACTCTAGTTCGGCAATATATAGGGAGAATAGGACGGGGGAGAGGGGACACCCCTGTCTCAGACCTATATTAGTTGACATCCTTTCGGACTCGACGGTGCAAACTTTTATAATGGTCTGATTATCCGTGTATATTGTCTTGAGTAGTTCTACCCAAGTCGAATCCATGCCCAGGTCTGATAGTCTTCCCCACAGAAGTTCTCTCCTAATTCTATCGAAGGCTTTCGTACAGTCAAGGAAGCAGCAAATTAGTCCCTTAATTAGACTGTCGCCTTGCGAGTCCGATTGCTGAGGTTATAATGAACAGATTGTCCTCTCCTCTCCTGCCGGGTCCGAAACCATTTTGCACCTCGCCCAGAACTTCTTCGTCTTCAATCCAGTCATTCATACGTTTGACGATGATTTTCATGAAGATTCGGTACTTAACTGATGAGACTGTTATTGGCCTGTATGTAGTGTTTGTAAACCGGGATTCGACTATCGCGGCTCGCCCCGTCAAGATGGTCGGCCTCCGTATTGCTCCACCGTGCTACATTTATGAGGAAGACGGGGCCTTTCCCGGCGACCCGTGTTTCAATCTTGCATGGTAGGGCATCCATGACATCGAATTCGTTCAGTGCCACTAATTTTTTGAGGAACTGCAGTGCTTCGTTTGAAGCCTGGGGAATTTTCTCGTCCGGCATTGATGCCATCCTCGACACAATCTGTGACTGCAGATCTCTGAACTTCGCAGCGTCTGCCATCCCGCTCGATCGATCGTCCGAACATGTCGGAGTCTCCGCGGAAACGTCTCTTTCCTCTTCGGGCATGGTGGACTGCTTCGGCGGCGACTGGGAATGCGGTCCTTCATCGGAAGGGCTCCGAACTCCGAACCCTCTTGCG